AAGGATCTGTACTTAGTCCTATCCTGTTTCTGATATGCGCAAATGATTTCCCAGAGGGTTATCTTGAGATGATTTCGGGGCTTTTTTTTAGTGTCCCCGCGGCCCGGTCCTCGACCAGGCCTCCACCCCCAGGAAGCAGCCCGTGACAGCTGACTAACTCCCAGGTACCTATTTACTGCTAGGTAACAGGGGCATTCAGGGTGAAAGAAACTTTGCCCATTTGTTTCTGCCTCGTGCGGGAATCGAACCCGCGCCACAGAATTACGAGTCCTGCGCGCTATCCACCAGGCTACGAGGCCCCCTATAGTATAGGTATAGACTGATTCCTCTCAATGCCTGCTGACGATGCCATAATTATGTATGGGATTAAGAAAGAGGAGGACTATATAATGCTTGAAGAAAACCTAGACAAACTGAAGGAATGGTCGAACAAATGGTTGTTAGAGTTTAACCCAAGTAAATGTAATGTAATAAAGATAGGTGTAGGGAGCAGGAGGCCAGATACAAGGTATCATTTAGGAGATGAAATTCGTCAAGAGTCAGAGCGAGAGAAAAACTTAAGCCCCATATCAAGAGGATAACATCAGCAGCATATGCCAGGCTGGCCAACATAAGAACGGCATTTAAGAACTTGTGTAAGGAATCATTCAGAACTTTGTACACCACCTATGTCAGACCAATCTTGAAGTATGCAGCCCCAGCATGGAGTCCATATCTTGTCAAGCATAAGTCTATAGTGGAAAAGGTTGACAGGTTTGCCACCAGACTGGTACCTGGGCTGAGATGTTTGAGCTACGAGGAGAGACAATGGGAATTAAACCTCACATCGCTTGAAGACAAAAGAGTTAGGGGGGACATGATCTTCACATACAAGATTCTCAAAGGAATTGATAGGGTAGATATAGACAGGCTCTTTAACACAAGGGGCACACGCACTAGGAAACACAGGTGGAAATTGAGTGCCCAAATGAGCCTCAGATATATTAGAAAGAAGTGTCAGAGTATTGACAAATGGAATGCATTAGGAAGTGATGAGGTGGAGGCTGACTCCAAACACAGTTTCAAGTGTAGATACAATAGAGCCCAGTAGGCTCAGGAATCTGTACACCAGTTGATTGACAGTTGAGAGGCGGGACCAAAGAGCCAGAGCTCAACCCCTCCAAGCTCAAATAGGTGAGCACAAATAGGTGAGTACATACAATTTGCAATATGGAGTCTTCTGGCACGAAGAGTCGTTAACATACAACTTGCAAATATGGTGTCCAGTGGAACGAAGAGACGTTTACGTACAACTGACAATATGGTGTCTGCTGGCACGAGGAGTCTTTAACATACAACTGATAATAAGGTGTCTAAGGCACGAAGAGTCGTTTACATACAACTGATAATAAGGTGTCTAAGGCACGAGGAGTCTTTAACATACAACTGATAATAAGGTGTCTAAGGCACGAAGAGTCGTTTACATACAACTGTGGGGAAATCTGGCTCCAGTGTAATACTAATAAATGTAAAATTCTATGAATACAAAATAATAATTAATTTTAAGAAAGCTCGAAGGACCAGAATACGATGTTAAATAAGAGAACCAGTGACTTATGGATCTCTGTGATTAAATGCAAGAAATTCTATTATTCTGTTCATATGCAATGAACTGTGAAATTCTATACATTCTAGAACCTCTTCCCATGACACATTTGGGGTGGTCTTCTATGAGGTTAATCTACATAATGCATAATGTGTATGATAAATTGTAGACATGATAAATATAGTAAATTGCATGTGTATGAATATTGGTACATATTAATGATTAATAAAATATTCACACATAATAATTTGGAAATACAAGAAAATGTTATCAGTGAGATAAATTAATATTAAGATGTAACTATTATACGATAAAAACAGCTTAGCTGTTTGAAGCATAGAAGTAAACGTTCCATATGGTATGCTCGTCGCCTAGAACCGTGTTTCATGAGGCTTCAGCTGGGAGCACGTGAGCGTCGAGGAAGTTTCACCTCACTTGAGTTGATACTCCAACTGAAAGACGAGTTAAATATAAATTCTGTTGGAGAATGTATGACTCCACTAATATTCATGTAAAATAATATGAATAGTGGAGTGAAAGACAGCTCATGATTTGGTTATTGGGGGCTCGCCTCCTAACGACATACTGTCTTATCTAAGATGTTTAATGTGGCCACAAGGAAACAAATAGGAACATACTAGTATGCCGGACACGGTGCCTGTGATGCGATAAAGCTGCCGGGTCTCGCAGGTTTCCGTAGGTGTATGGATAACTATCTATGAAGACGAATTCGGTCAGCTCTCAGACATGCCTCCCAAAAGATGGCGTCGCTAGCCAGCCTCTCTCTCCTCCTTCCCTCTCTGGGTATGTGCATGCGCGATAGTCCCCAATGTGGGGGCACGAGCATAAATGCTTTTGATTAATTAAAGTTAAATAGGGAAGGAAGTGTTTATGACGGCCGTTTATATCATAATTAAATACATTATATGGTAATGTTTGATTCTCGCAGTGCAGGTCATTTAATGTAGACTGCACAAGTAAAACAAGAATCCTTTGGAAGTGGGCTCAATAGATATACGCTATTATTGGGAACTTTCTCTACTTCAATTCACTCTTACCATTCTTAACCCAACCTCATATACGGGATCTGAACTCCATTTTACATAATATTCTTTTGAAATTATATTAATTAACTATATCTATATCATTACCATAACCCTATTTTCTTTAACTTAATTAACCCTAACTGGGGTTAGTAGTAGGTTATAATTGCTTTATAATTATTTTATATTTGTTTTTACAGACTCTCAAAAAACGTTTTTAAATCATAATAGAAAACAGGATGAAAAAAAATCGTTTTCAAAACGTGTGAAAACGAGAAAATGTTTACTGGATTTGTATGTTAAAGTAGATCATATTTTTCTCTGCACATATATTCTCATATACACTAATTATAATGTGACTTACATGTATGTTTATTGTTATATATACTGGTTAATTGTGAATCAGAATTGCGAGGTTGTAGAAACATATAACAACCTCCCTTATTCCTTTTTTGCCAGAACCCTCTTTCCTTGAAAAGAACTTGAGATTCTAATTATGATATGTATGATTATTAAAGATTGCCAAAAGTTGGAGTTCCATTTACTCTTTCATCTCATACCAAAGGTAACGCAGTAGAGCCAGTATTTGGGTAAAATTATTAAAGTTGTGTTCCCATGTGAGTTAGCATACAAAAGACTGACACAGACATAATCTGTAGTGTATTGGGACCGTCTCAAAGCGCTCCAAATGTACTCGCTAGAAAGACGACGGGAGAGATATCAAATAATATACACGTGGTAAATACTGGAGGGCCAGGTCCCAAATCTACACAGTAAAATAACAACATACTGGAGTAAACGATATGGAAGAAATTGCAGAATAGAACCAGTGAAGAGCAGGGGGTGCCATAGGCACAATTGGAGAGAACTGTTTAAATATCAGAGGTCCACGGTTGTTCAACGTCCTCCCAGCGAGCATAAGAAATATTGCCGGAACAACCGTGGACATCTTCAAGAGGAAACTAGATAGTTTCCTCCAGGGAATGCAGGACCAACCGGGCTGTGGTGGGTATGTGAGCCTGCGGGGCGCTGCAAGCAACAGCCTAGTGGACCAAACTCTCACAAGTCAAGCCTGGCCTCGGGCCGGGCGTGGTGAGTAGAAGAACTCCCAGAACCCCATCAAGCAGGTAGTAAGATTGTGGTGACTGGCAGTCTGTGCCACTGACCAGTGTTGAGACATTCTCTAAGATGTGCCTGCAATTGTTCTTCTTTCTCCTTCAGAGACCTTGAGGGATAACGTAAATCAATTGAGGCTCTAAGGAGATAATCTGAAGAGAGAGAAAAAGAGTGGTCCAGATGCACCGCTACACTGATGAGAAACTTTTAAGTCACTATAAGTTATACGTTTCACATATTGTATTTGAGTTTTGGCTAAATATTTCTAACGTTTGGTATTGATTAATAGGTTCCCATTTAATCTATGACTCTTATAATCATATACGCTTGCTTGTAATACTGATCATTCATGTGTGTCAGTTAAGAGAATGCAATAAGTTTTGAAAGTTAGCAGAATTATATGATTATTTCCATATATATTATGATAGGATAAATTGCTTCGTTTATTTTATTTGTTATAATTATTTGATTTAAACATTATAGCGAGGGCTTTCACTCTAAAGATTCAGCAACTTTGCTCCCAAGCTTAATATTATTAGGGAACTCTGATACTGGACGGCATATCCTGTCTGTGATATCACACACGTTTTCAAGAATTTAAAATGTCCTCGGCATAATGCGCAGTGGACTCTGGCAAGAGGGCGTCATCTGTTGTGTCTGGATGTAGCATTTCCTCAGATCAAATCCATTACCATGAGAAACCCCCTCTCCACCTTAAACCACCTGCATAGTTATACAGATATATGTGATCATGGTTTGAAAGCATATTACGGCTCCAGTAATAGAATACATGTAAACTGGCAAATTAACCTTTGTCGTAAACAGAGATTATTCTCAAGTTACATCGTAAATGTGATAGAAATCGTTTGTTTTAAATATAAAAACAGTATGCTGAAAACTTTTTCTTTGAAGAATTTGTGTTTTCTGTTATCGAAATTTGAGGGCATATTGAAATAGTTTTGAATTCAAATTTCACATTATCGTCAATATTACACTTTATTAACGTAACCAAACGTAATGAAAAATAACATAGCCAAACTAAATTTTAACCCAACATAACCACATAACTAAACTAACTCTTAACCTAACTAAACCTTAACCTAAAGTAAATTGAACCTAACCTAAGCATGGAAAAAAGTAAGTAACAACAAATTATGTAGTCATTCCGAATCCATTCCCTTGAGGTGATATCCTCTGTACGGACAGATTGCTGGATGTGACCAACACTGTGTGGATGACAGGTAAATATGCCTTACCGTTACTAGGAGGTCATCAAGTCCCAGCCAATATTCGGAGTTGTTACCAAACACGGAGTAGGACACCACCCGCTGCTTGTGTCCTGCCGCCCACGCCCGCCGCCCACACGTGCCGCCCACGCCATCCAGGGACACCTTCGAGACTTCCTTCTCAGGAACACAGACCTTCCCATCACATCTGCAGCGTCCACCATCCCACCATGGGGGATTTTCATCCTGTCAATAACCATACTATAATTACTATCATTGTTTAACATCCTGCCTTGGGAGATGTTAGTTCTGTCATTATCCATATAACTGCTGGCGTCAAATATTACAGTGTAACAAACAAAGTGCCTCTGCCATAATCTCACACCTGCTTTAGCCTCAGTCACATATACTCCTCATCAGTGGCGTGTTTTCCTAAGTAATACAAAACCACGTAAATAAGATTTAGGTTAATATAATGTGTTTGAAATCGGAAAAAGAAACATAGGCCTTGTAAGCAGGGGGATGGAAGAGCGGGTTGAGGATGCAGAAAACTTTAGTAGGGAATTGGGAGGGGCAGAGAGAGTGTACAAAGCGGCGGCCCATCCACCGTGGATTTGAATTTGGGTTTATTTCTGGATGGCTGAGTGGAGCGTTCTTGATAGTGCATAAGGGGGCTGGGCTCTCGAGCAGCTGGCTGTTGAAGAGTGGAGTTAGTTGGTGGTAGTCGACGTGGTTACTTTATTCACGGGTCTTCATTCTTCATTCATCGGTCTTTTGATTGTAGGTATCTTCTTTCTTCCGACTACTTTATGCAGTCTTGAGTCGTTGGTCTTCTTGGACTTCCTGGCACTCTTACTTCTTGTAGACATGGAGGTACAGCGGTTCGAGGTTGTAGGTGTGGTGTTAAGTAGGAAGTCGTCAGGACTGTAGTAAACTTTTGTTGAGGAGAGCATGGTGTTCCAACTGAGACATCTTCATTCGCCGATTTAGCCGAGTCGATAGCAGAACTGGTGTTCCTTGAAGGTTGAGCAGCAGAGTCGTGGAGAGGGCTGTGGGGCGGGAGGTGTAGCTGCAACGGGATTAGGAGGTTAAATAGGTGCACTCCGGTCCGTGGAACGTCAGTAGTAGGTGGAGGCACGGGAGCAGGCTGTTCAGCTACAGGGACGGCGAGTGGTACCGAAGCAGGTGTCGTCGATGTGAAGGGGTCGGCTCTGGGGCAGCAAACATTGTCTCAGGAATACAGATGGTTGCTAAGCCATTAGCAGTATGCAGTGAGTTGAGTGTTGCAACGAAAATCGATTGTCCGGTCGAGCAATCCTCTCAGCGAGGCGGAGAATAGCTGGTACAATACCAGCATTTGAAGAAGGTCGAGACTGGAGTGCTGAATGGGCGCTGAGCCCCCAATGAGAAAGCTGGAAGGTCTGGGAGGTGGTTTCCACCGTCTCATAGAGCAGGAAAAACGTCTGACTGGTCACTGGGCGCTGAAGAGCTTCAGCTGGTGCTAGTGGAGGCATACGGTTGCCTCAAATCAACCATTTTTTGTATTACTTCCTGTCTGTGTGGGCAGTGATAGGAAATAGGAATGCGATCGCCATTGTAGAGTGGAGAATGTTCAAAATGAGCCTTGCAATTGGTGTAGCAGTGGTTCACAGAGCAGTTACTGCATTTGTTGACGCATTTATTAGCGGAGTGTGTGTGTGTACTGGTAACACTTGAAACGCAGTTTAAGATCGTAATAACGTTCCTTCTGAACTTGGGCTGGTGGAATTTGGATACCAAAGCACTTGAGCCTCTGTGAGGTAGCAAGGTCCGCTGCAGCTACCGACGTGAATGTCGGTTTCATGGTCAAGTGGGGTCTGTCTCTATAATTGATTCTTATTATGGTGGTAGATATTATGGAAGGTGTTAGGATTAGGGTATGTTGTAGGATTAAGGTCACTTAATATTAGGTTCGTAATGTTAAGAGCCGATGCTCATTTGTGTATAAAGTATAAAATGTTTATATTCACGGCATTTATACCCAGTGACTACATTGTTTGTTGTAAATAAACGCCATGTGGATCACATGTTCATTTACGTGTGATCCAGTGGCGACGAGGATTAACAGCCGCTGATGAGCGCGGGTACAAGACAAGATAAAAAGCATCAGAGAGCAGAGTGTGTCGTGTGGACGGGCGGAATAACTCAGACAACAGTGAATTGTGTTCAACCCATAGCCATGGCTGCTCCCTCTAGGGTGTCACTAGTGAAAATTGAACAGTTTGATGCTACCGAGATCTTGGTAGACCAGCGACTGAGCCTGCTCGAAGCAAACTTCGAGTATCATGGGATAAAGCCGGACATAAACAAGAAAGCGATGCTCCTAGTTTCACTGTGTACAACAGTGTATAGTTTCCTGGGTAACGTGTGCGGTTCAGAGCTACCCCACACGATGACCTATGGAGACCTGATTACCCTGCTTAAACAATAAGCAGCATGAATCCTTACAAGGTTTATATGCATATTTGAAGGTGTTGGCTAACAACAACAATTTTGGAATACAGTTTGACTGCTGGGTAAGGGACCAATTGTTCATGGTCGTAGACAATTAAATATTTTTCCCTATCCTGGTGGCGGAAAAACTTGGATTTACAATCGATGACTTCATCGACGGTGCTAGATAAAATTTTGATCTTGGAAGGGGCTTTCGAAGCTACGAAATGCACTACCCAAGACATTATAGTCGTATATCAAACACAGGTGTATGTAAGAGCCACACATCTGCCTCACTCACTGTCACATATACTCATCATTCATAGTCAAGTACAGTTGTATGTAGGATTTACACACCTGTCTCATTCACGGTCAAATATACTCCTCATACACTGTCAAGCACTGATGCATGTACGATTCCCACACTTGCCTCAGCCAGTCTCCTATTCTACATATTCATAGTCAAGCACAGATCCATGCAAAAACCACAAACCTGCCTCAGTCACAGTCACATATACTCCACATTCACAGTCAAGCACAGATGTATGTAAGAGTCAAACACCTGCCTTAGTCACAGTATCATATTCGCCACATTCATAGTTAAGTACAGATTATGTGAGAGCCATACACCTGCCTCAGACACAGTCACATATACTCATTATTCATAGTCAAGCACAGATGCCTATAAGAGCCCCACACCTGCCTCAGTCAGTCATGGACCAGTCTTGCCACATATATACTCCTGCCTCACATACATTAACTCTCTCAATAGTAGTGAGTTCATCATTGCCTCACTCATTGTTACCTCTTGAGCTTATCTTGAGCTTGACCTCATTTACTTGTTTCTCATAACGAGTCACAAGGAACATGATGTGAGAGACGAGTCACACTCACACACAAGGAAAATGAGTCAAACTCTCACAAAAGGAGCATGACTCACATTAACACACAAGGAACATGAGTCACACTCACACACAGGGAATATGCGTCACACTAAAGGAACATGAGTTACATTCACACACAAGGAACATTAATTCACATTCACAAGCAAGGAATATGAATCATACTTACACACAACGAACATGAGTCAAACACACACACAAGCAGCATGAGTCATACTCACAAACAAGGAACATGATCAACACTCACACACTAGCAACATGAGTCATACTCACAAACAAGGAACATGATCAACACTCACACACAACGAACATGAGTTATATTCACACAATAGGTACATGAGACACACTCACATACAAGAAACATGAGTCACACTCACACACTAGCAACATGAGTCACTCACAAAAACAAGAAACATGAGTCCCACACACACATGGAATGTGATATGAGAGACGAGTTACACTCACATGCAGCATGCAGTGAGAGATGAATCATACTCTCACTGAAGGAACATGAGTTACACTCACTCACAAGGAACATGAGTTACACTATCAACCAAGGAACATAATGAGAGACAAGTCACACTCAAACACAAGGAACACACACAAGGAGTCACACACACACTACGAACATGATGTGAGAGTCGAGTCATACTCACACTCAAGGAACATGAGTTACACTCACTCACAAGGAACATGACGTGAAAGACGAGTCACACTAATGCACAAGGAACATGATTTACACACACAAACAAGAAAAATGATTCACACACACAAGGAACATGAGTCACACTAGCACACGAGAAAGATGAGTCACACTCACACACAAGGAAGATGAGTCACACTCACACACAATGATGATCAGTGATTTTTACTCCCAAGCGTCATGAGTCACACTAACACACTAGGAAGGTGAGTCAAACTCATACACAATAAAGATGAGTCACTCTCATACACTATATAAATAATGTGAGAGACTATTCGCACTCACACACTAGGAACATGAGTCACACTCACGCACAAGGAACATGAGTCACACTCACACTCAAGAAACATGGGTTAAACTCACACACAAGGAACGTGTGTCTCTCTCTCTCTCACACACACACACACACACACACACACACACCACACACACACACACACACACACACACACACACACACACACACACACACACACACACTCACACACTCACACACACACACACACACACACACACACACACACACACACACACACACACACACACACACACACACACACACACACACACACACACTCACACACTCACACACTCACACACTCACACACACACACACACACACACACACACACACACAGTATGGAAGCGAAGAAACTGAACAAAAAGGCGTGGAGGAACTTCCGGAATAACAGAACACCAGAAAGCAGGGAGAGATACCAGAGAACCAGGAATGAGTACGTCAGGGTGAGAAGAGAAGCAGAGAAAAATTTTGAAAATGATATAGCAAACAAAGCCAAGACCGAACCAAAGCTACTCCACAGTCACATCAGAAGGAAAACAACAGTGAAAGAACAGGTATTGAAACTTAGAACAGGCGAGGACAGGTATACAGAGAATGAGAGAGAGGTGTGTGAGGAACTTAACAAGAGGTTCCAGGAGGTCTTCACAATAGAACAGGGTGAGGTCACTGTGCTAGGAGAAAGGGAGGTAAACCAGGCGGCCTTGGAGGAGTTCGAAATTACGAGAGAGGAGGTCAAGAGACACCTGCTGGATCTGGATGTTAGAAAGGCGGTTGGTCCAGATGGGATCTCACCATGGGTACTGAAAGAGTGTGCAGAGGCACTTTGCTTGCCACTCTCCATAGTGTATAGTAAATCACTAGAGACGGGAGACCTACCAGAAATATGGAAGACGGCGAATGTGGTCCCAATATACAAAAAGGGCGACAGACAAGAGGCACTGAACTACAGGCCAGTGTCCTTGACTTGTATACCATGCAAGGTGATGGAGAAGATCGTGAGAAAAAACCTGGTAACACATCTGGAGAGAAGGGACTTCGTGACAAATCGCCAACATGGATTCAGGGAGGGTAAATCTTGCCTTACAGGCTTGATAGAATTCTACGATCAGGTGACACAGATTAAGCAAGAAAGAGAGGGCTGGGCGGACTGCATTTTCTTGGATTGTCGGAAAGCCTTTGACACAGTACCGCATAAGAGGCTGGTACATAAGCTGGAGAGACAGGCAGGTGTAGCTGGTAAGGTGCTCCAGTGGATAAGGGAGTATCTAAGCAATAGGAAGCAGAGAGTTACGGTGAGGGGTGAGACCTCCGATTGGCGTGAAGTCACCAGTGGAGTCCCACAGGGCTCTGTACTCGGTCCTATCTTGTTTCTGATATATGTAAATGATCTCCCGGAGGGTATCGATTCATTTCTCTCAATGTTTGCGGACGATGCTAAAATTATGAGAAGGATTAAAACAGAAGAGGACTGTTTGAGGCTTCAAGAAGACCTAGACAAGCTGAAGGAATGGTCGAACAAATGGTTGTTAGAGTTTAACCCAACCAAATGTAATGTAATGAAGATAGGTGTAGGGAGCAGGAGGCCAGATACAAGGTATCATCTGGGAGAGGAAATTGAAAGAGTCAGAGAAGGAAAAAGACTTGGGGGTTGATATCACGCCAGACCTGTCTCTTGCAGCACATATCAAGCGGATAACATCAGCGGCATATGCCAGGCTGGCCAACATACGAACGGCATTCAGAAACTTGTGTAAAGAATCATTCAGAACTTTGTATACCACATATGTCAGGCCAATCCTGGAGTATGCAGCCCCAGCATGGAGTCCATATCTAGTCAAGGATAAGACTAAACTGGAAAAGGTTCAAAGGTTTGCCACCAGACTAGTACCCGAGCTGAGAGGTATGAGCTACGAGGAGAGACTACGGGAATTAAACCTCACTTCGCTGGAAGACAGAAGAGTTGGGGGGACATGATCACCACATTCAAGATTCTGAAGGGGATTGATAGGGTAGATAAAGACAGTCTATTTAACACAAGGGGAACACGCACAAGGGGACACAGGTGGAAACTGAGTGCCCAAATGAGCCACAGATATATTAGAAATAACTTTTTAGTGTCAGAGTGGTTGACAAATGGAATGCATTAGGGGGTGATGTGGTGGAGGCTCACTCCATACACAGTTTCAAGTGTAGATATGACAGAGCCCGATAGGCTCAGGAATCTGTACACCTGTTGATTGACGGTTGAGAGGCGGGACCAAAGAGCCAGAGCTCAACCCCCGCAAACACAACTAGGTGAGTACAACTAGGTGAGTACACACACACACACACACACACACACACACACACACACACACACACACACACACACACACACACACACACACAATTAAGGAATTAAATTAAATGGAATGCATTAGGAAGTGATGTGGTGGAGGCTGACTCCATACACAGTTTCAAGTGCAGATATGATAGAGCCCAATAGGCTTAGGAACCTGTACACCAGTTGATTGAGAGTTTAGAGGCGGGAACAAAGAGCCGAAGCTCAACCCCCACAGGCACAACTAAGTGAATACAACTAGGTGAGTACACACACACACACACACATACACAGAAGACACACATACACACAACCCACACACACACACACACACACACACACACACACACACACACACACACACACACACACACACACACACAGATATTTGAGTACAGAGATATTAGAAAGAACTTTTTTATAATGTCAGAGTGGTTGACAAATGGAATGCATTTGGAAGTGATGTGGTGGAGGCTGACTCCATACACAGTTTCAAGTGTAGATATGATAGAGCCCGATAGGCTCGGGAATCTGTACACCTGTTGATTGACGGTTGAGAGGTGGGACCAAGGAGCCAGAGCTCAACCCCCGCAAGCACAACTAGGTGAGTGCACACACACCCACACACACGGAACATATAGTCACACTGGAGGAATGGTCTAGAAAATGGCTACTAAAGTTCAGCTCAGGAAGGTGTAAAGTAATGAAATTAGGCGAAGGGAGCAGAAGTTGAACACGAGGAACTATCTGGGAGGTGAAATCCTGCAAGAGTCATTTAGAGAAAAAGATCTGGGGGTTGATATCACACCGAACCTGTCCCCAGAGGCCCACATCAAAAGGATATCATCAGCGGCATATGCTTGCTTGGCCAACATAAGATCTGCCCTTAGATACTTGTGTAGATAGCCGCCCCCTGTGAGAGGATATGAAGCACCCCACTTTTAAATTCTGCCCAGCTGAAGGAGTTGTCGGAGGTCGTGAAAGAGTAGTTACTGACGATCTCCAGATTGTTTATTCTTTACTTCCATCCCTGTATTAATATTAATTGTATATGTGATCATGTAGCTTATGTCAGTAAATATCACATATTTTACCGTTGTGTTTAAGTGTGCCTCCATAATGATCTCTATGAGCATTCACGAGAGATATCATAGTCCCGCCTAGTGAACATTACGTTTTCTACAAATGTTCTTAGTGGCTGGAGAGTGGTAAAAGTGTACCCTAGGCTATCCATCCAGTATCAGATTTGTAGGAGGAGCAACACTTTGGCAACAAGCAGTATAGAATACACCCATTGAACTGCACTGCTGGGGTGCAGAGATCTCAACCCAGCTGGCGACCTTGTTAAAATAGAGATAGAGAAGGCAGGCGAGGAAGGAATTCCTGCAACTTTTTGTCCGGCAGGCAAGACTCAGGGTAATTCATTGTTAAAAAGCCTGGGTCTTCCTTCACTCCTCCATGGGTCTAGGCCGGAATTGCTAATAGCAGTGTCCCCATGGATGATTGAAGGGCTCCCAGGGTGAATCAGTGGCACCCCAAGGTGGGATCGAAGACCTGCGGTGGTGGGTATTACTGGTCCTCTTCTGTGGGACCAAGTGACTCTGGGGAGTCACGTGATCGGAGACTGAGTACTGTCTCCTGAGCCCCTAGCAGCCCCTCGCTAACGGAGCCTCAGCCCTCCCCTAGTGACAGTATCAACACACACACAGTTAAGTTAGGTTAGGTATCAACACTCAGCTAAGTTTGGTTAGGTATCAACACACACACAGCTAAGTTAGGTTAGCTATCAACACATACTCAGCTAAGTTAGGGTATGTATCAACACTCAAAAGCATCTATGTTAGATTAGGTATCAACACATACACATCTAAGTTAGGTTAGGTATCAACACTCACACAGCTAAGTTAGGTTAGGTATCATCACACACACACACACAGTTAAGTTAGGTTAGGTATCACCACACACACACACACACACACACAGTTAAGTTAGGTTAGGTATCAACACTCAGCTAAGTTTGGTTAGGTATCAACACTCAGCTAAGTTAGCTTAGATATCACCACACACAGCTAAGCTAGGTTAGATACCAATTCTCATTCAGCTGAGTTAAGTTAGGTGTCACCACTCACACACATAGCTAAGTTAGGTTACATAGCAACACTCACACAGCTAAGTTAGGTTAAGTATCAACACTCATTCAGCTGAGTTAGGTTTGGTGTCACCACTCACACACATAGCTATGTTAGGTTAGGTATCAACAAGCATAGCTAAGTTAGGTTAGGTATTAAGACTCACTCAGGTAAGTTAGGTTAGGTATCAACACAATATCAACACAAGTGCATAAACAAACAAATCAGTCAGCAACACTAATACTGAAACACCTCAAAACTCTCTGTTTAAATCAATATATCAGGACTAATTTACACCATAAAGTAGACGTGGCATTTTATACAGTGTTAGAGCAACACAAGTGTTCCCTGCTCGCCTGAACCTCAGCAACAACACCCCAGGAACACAATGCTCTCGGGTGACGATGGTGACCGAGCACTTAAGAGACCACGAGACTTACATTTGTGGTGAGGTTGCTTGACACGTTTGGTGATGATGGCTGGCGAGGTAGTGGTTGGTGTAGGGGAGGTAGTGGTTGGTGTAGGAGAGGGCTGAAGTATGTGATGTAGAAGAAGGCGGCCAGCAGGAGACCCGCGCCCACACACGCGACTCTCCTGTGTTTCTTCTCAACAACACCATATTGAAACATCTTGTTTCTAGTGACCCCCTCTGTTGCAAATATAGTGAAAATATATACATTGTATATTAGAGTATTCATGCAGTGTGGTATACGTTTAAATTTACCTGGGAAAACAATTTCGTATATAGAACGATATATTTACCAAATCCCTGACTGAGGCAACTTCTAGCTGAGATTTTCCTTACCAACAGACATGCACCGGAATATCACTATATAACCTTACTTGTCTTTTCTATTTTCCTTTTCTGATTAAATTGTTTGAGATGCTGAGGTTATAGTCCGCAGATATTATCAAAATGTGTTTGTCTGTGGTCCAGGACATGGTCATCATTATGGGGCAAATTGGTTATAGATGTTTTATTGTTCATATATACCACTACCTGAACTACAGGTGTTCTCTGTTACACAGGCCACAGTGATGGAGGAAACAAAGAGACGTTGCACTCATCTTGCACAAGTACCTATGTTCTCGCATATTGCAAACAACATAAACGTGAATGTATTATCTTGTATTAGATTAAAAGATAGAGTTTGTACTAAATACCTCAAGATGTATAAATTATTTTCAAAGCGGATATTTATATAATATGTGGAGAAAGTAATGAGTTTGTCCGAGATATGATGTAATTGTTCTTTAGTAAGGAAACACTTCCAATTTACTTGCAGATGCATAGTAATTTGCTGAGTTGATTATCCAGCAAACACATACCGTTTTCAAACGTTTTTATTTGTTTATAGAAAAGTAACACTAACTATTTGTAAAAAGTCAACTTTTTAACATCGAAACTATTTCAAACAAATCTTAGACATTTTTTGGCAAATATACAAATGACGGTTTTTGACATTTAATACATTTTTCTTACATCCAGTTCAATTATTTGGCGTGTGTGCATGTGTTTGGCGTGTGTGCATGTGTTTGGCGTGTGTGCATGTGTTTGGCGTGTGTGCATGTGTTTGGCGTGTGTACATGTGTTTGGCGTGAGTGCATGTGTTTGGCGTGAGTGCATGTTTGTTTGGCGTGAGTGCATGTGTTTGGCGTGAGTGCATGTGTTTGGCGTGAGTGCATGTGTTTGGCGTGAGTGCATGTGTTTGGCGTGAGTGCATGTGTTTGGCGTGTGTGCATGTGTTTGGCGTGTGTGCATGTGTTTGGCGTGAGTGCATGTGTTTGGCGTGTGTGCATGTGTTTGGCGTGTGTGCATGTGTTTGGCGTGTGTGCATGTGTTTGGCGTGAGTGCATGTGTTTGGCGTGAGTGCATGTGTTTGTGCGTGAGTGCATGTGTTTGGCGTGAGTGCATGTGTTTGGCGTGAGTGCATGTGTTTGGCGTGTGTGCATGTGTTTGGCGTGTGTGCATGTGTTTGGCGTGTGTGCATGTGTTTGGCGTGAGTGCATGTGTTTGGCGTGTGTGCATGTGTTTGGCGTGAGTGCATGTGTTTGGCGTGTGTGCATGTGTTTGGCGTGTGTGCATGTGTTTGGCGTGTGTGCATGTGTTTGGCGTGTGTGTGCATGTGTTTGGCGTGTGTGCATGTGTTTGGCGTGTGTGCATGTGTTTGGCGTGTGTGCATGTGTTTGGCGTGTGTGCATGTGTTTGGCGTGTGTGCATGTGTTTGGCGTGTGTGCATGTGTTTGGCGTGTGTGCATGTGTTTGGCGTGTGTGCATGTGTTTGGCGTGTGTGCATGTGTTTGGCGTGTGTGCATGTGTTTGGCGTGTGTGCATGTGTTTGGCGTGTGTGCATGTGTTTGGCGTGTGTGCATGTGTTTGGCGTGTGTGCATGTGTTTGGCGTGTGTACATGTGTTTGGCGTGTGTGCATGTGTTTGGCGTGTGTGCATGTGTTTGGCGTGTGTGCATGTGTTTGGCGTGAGTGCATGTGTTTGGCGTGTGTGCATGTGTTTGGCGTGTGTGCATGTGTTTGGCGTGTGTGCATGTGTTTGGCGTGAGTGCATGTGTTTGGCGTGTGTGCATGTGTTTGGCGTGTGTGCATGTGTTTGGCGTGTGTGCATGTGTTTGGCGTGAGTGCATGTGTTTGGCGTGTGTGCATGTGTTTGGCGTGTGTGCATGTGTTTGGCGTGTGTGCATGTGTTTGGCGTGTGTGCATGTGTTTGGCGTGAGTGATATGTGTGTGGGATGTTTTATTTGTATGTGTTTCATGTGTGTGTGTATGTGTATTTACTTTTTGTATTTTTACTATTTGTATCTGCAGAATCGAGCTATTAGCTCTTGGACCCTGCCTTTCTATTCAATTTATTTTCCTCTATTACATATATTTCTCTTAAACCTGCAAACACGCACATCCCGAGGAAGTAGCCTGTAGCAGCTGTCTAACTCCCAATGTGAACTAGGTGAACAGGGGCACTAGGAGGAAAGAAACACTCCCCATCTGTTTCTCCTTCTGGCGGGGATCAAACCCGGGCCCTTAGGACTATGACCCAAGAGTGCGGTCCACTCAATTGCGATGACCATATTTGGTGAGTATGCATGTGTGCGTGTGTGTGTGTGTGTGTGTGTGTGTGTGTGTGTGTGTGTGTGT